GGCAAAGATGGTCAGGACGGGCACTGCGAGAGGGCCCCCATTGCAGATGCTGCTCAACCAGGTCCCGAGGCTGCAGATCAGCCCGAGCTCGAGGCTCTGCCTGACTTGCCAGGCCCGCGAAGACCGGGTCGACCCAGGAAAGACGAGGTGCCAGGAACCCGATGGTCCCTGGCCACGTGGGTTCGGCAACAGCGCTCAGACATTTACCTGGCGACGGACAAGAGCCAGCTCAAGTGCGCTGCATATTACTGCAGGGCATGCTGCCGGCAGATCTCCTTTGGCACGCAAACGTGCGAAGCCAAAGTGCTTCGTCATGAGCAGTATAAAACACATGTGGAAGGTTTGCGCAAGCTGCGAGGTGATGCAACCATCCAGCCTGCCCATGCTGGTGCACAAAAGGCTGATCCTGCGGGTCCTCGACAAGAGTGTGCTGGTCTGTTAGCCTCGAAGCTCGCGCTCAAGGACTCGGTCGAAGCCTTTGTGCAATTTGGGCAACCTCGCCTCCTCTACAACGAGCACGAGACTGATTGGCTGGCTTCCGTGTCCTTCCAGGTGCTTCCCCAGGACATCGCAGTGCGGAGTAAGGAGTGCAAAGGATTTCTTGAAGGTCTCAGCGCATGCTCGGCATGCGTGAAAGCGGCAAACCAAAAGAAGTTCAAGGAAGCTTTGGCGAAGCAGGTGTTCATGATCGATCTGTGTGTACTGAGCTATAAGTGCATACACTGCTCCGCGGAGGAACTGCACAGCTTCAAGGAAGAGCTTCGCCAGAGGGATTACCAGCAGCAGAACTTGGCTGGCAGTGACCTTGATCGGCTGCTACGGATCAAGGACAACTTGGAAGTCTCCAGGGCAGTCGCTGCCAGAGTTGATACGACTCCTGCATGGCGAGTCTCCTCGTCGCTCCGCAAGTTCTGGGATGTGTGGTTGACCAGGCCGCAGAAGCACCATCAAACATCAACGGAGGCCTACGGCTGCCTGGCGAGGGGGATGATGGATGCTGTTGCGAGCGGACGGGCTCGGGAGTTTGATTTAGTGTTGGCTGCACGTGTGGCTGCAGGTGCTCTCAGATCAGACGTTTTGGTTGAATCTTTGACCACAAGCTTTCTCGCAAAGTTCAAGGATGGATTGGCAGACTGCAAGAGGCGCACAACAAGTGCCTTTGCAAACTTCCAGGTGTTGTCGGAATCTTTGACAACTCTCGGACGACATGCCGAGGTGGACTCCCTCTTGAGGAGCTTTTGTGTCAATCCACGTTCCATGCCGGCCTTGTCGCTTGTGACGGAGCGATATCCACAACCGTTCGTTTCCTTGAACGACCTGCCGGTGCTTCGCGACTCGTACATGCGGGGCCTCACTTTGCTCAAGGCGGCAGGCACACGGGCGCATTTGATATGCGATGAAACGACATGGGCCCCGGACTGGAGCCAGGTACGAAGGGTCTGCAGGAACGAGGCCGGCGAGCTGGTGGACAGAATCGTGGGGGGTGCCTGGCATGCCGATGCGGACAAGGATATGTCCCTCCTAGATCCAGACGAACACGACCGCACAAAGCTACCACGTGAGAAACTGGCCAAGCTTGCCCTCCACATCGGTATGGCCCGAACAGACTGCACACGGTTTGTGTTCGACGTATGCGTGTTACCCCGCCCTCAAAGATTGTGGTCGGCTGAGGAAACCTTGGATGTCGTCGCCCGGTTGTTTCATGAGTGCACAGAGGCCAGTGGGCGACCACCCAATGGCCTGGCGTTCGACGGAGGATCCAACAATGCCAAACTCCTGCAGACCTTTCTAGGTCTTCTCGAACCAGAGAAGATGCAGTCGCTTCCATTTTTCAGCCAGTGTTCCGTGAAGACCATCCCGAAGCTCCCCTGCTGGGGCTTTGCATACCTGACGTACAAGGACGAGGCAGTGTCATGACACAAAGGTCTGTGCTGGGTTCGGGGTTCATGGGCTTGTTCGAAGAAGTAGTCTAGTCCACTCAGTCCACCTGCATGCCCAGATCTTGGTCGCGATGAACGGAGCTTGGCACTGGCAGAAAAGGTTCAGCCTAGCTCACCTGTCGGGGTGCCGCAAGATCCGGCACGGTGGCGTCTTTGTGGACTTGTCCGTGGAGCTCTCATGCGGCTTGCCGCATGCGGCGTACTTGGCATCGGACGTGCAATCCGATTTGGCCGCATGCCAAAGGCTGTCGCCGCCTTATACAGGCAAGACATGGTGCAGTCTAGGTGTGAATGTCCACAGCCTGATAGGGGCGCTGGTCTGTTCGTGCACTACGGGGTCGGTTGGCTTCTGCCAAGAAGATATCTGCTTCAATGCTGCCGCTGGGTATTACTTGCTACTTCTACATCGCAGCGAAGCCGGCAGACAGTGGAGACAGCACCTAAGCTTGCATCTCTGCCTTCCCCACATCCACACACACAGTAACACACACACACACACCACACACCAGGTATCAAGAGCGAGGGCGCAACTCGCTGTCCGACGTCACGGTTCGCAACGGCATGGCGCTCTGCAGTTTCGCTGTCGTCTGCTGCATGACGTGCAGCGAGCCGCGATTCGTGCAAGAACTCGCCATCGAGAACCATTTCTCGAGGTTGAAAAGCATGTATCGTGGACAGCCGAGCTTGAAAGATTTCCTTCATAGCTGTCGCTCTCTCTCAGCACGGCAGGCTCGGCAGCTAGACAGCCTGTCAGTCGAGAGGCTGCAGGACCGGGCGGCCAGTTTCCCAAGATCCCCGATGCCGGAGGATGAGGTGACGAAGCATTGTCGCAAGGCCTTCGCCGCAGCATTGCAGACACAGTCATTCATCTCGGACGGCCGGAACACCACTGACATCTACGACACGTTGCTGAAGTTCTGTGGGCCAGACGGGGAGAGCTTCTTCGGTACTGCCATGGGCGAGTCCGCTTTCGACATGATGGACATCACCCCTGAGACATCCGAGTGGCTCCCTCGCGAGGAGACGGAGCACAAGTCCCAGCAGCAGGTGGTGTCCATGCAGCTGTTGCAGACGGTGGAGGACAGAGCCAAAGTCTTGGAGGAGATCCAGCTTCTTGAAGCATCCGACACATCAGATGCTTGCCAGCCTGCTCGGCAGCCTGCAGAGCAGGCCGAGGATGCACCACAGGACCCGGAGCTCCTGGTGGAGCTCGCACCTGAGAGCGGATGCCCAGTCATCCCCACAAATCTCGGGAAGCTGCTGAAGGCTGTATTGGCTGAGGGAGGCAAGGAGTTCAACCTGGACCAAGCGACTGGTCAAGGACAGGCTGCCCTGCTCAAGCGGCTGTTGCACATGGCGCCCTTCATCCGCAGCTTCACCAAGCATGCCAGACTCCAAGAAGGGGTTCTTTCGGCAGCCGTCCTGAATGAGTGCAAAGGCCCACGGAACGAGTGGAATCGTCGTGAGCACGAGCTCGCTGTTGCGAGGCGGGCTATCAATGCCAGTCAGGTACGCCTCTCCCGTGCCCAGGCTTGGCACATGGCGGTTCAGAAGATGTCCAAGGAGGTCCAGGCCGTCAACAAACAAGTCGAAGCGAACGACCCGGGAATCCATGCCCCCGATGTCTACTTCCCTGCGGGTGACCGGGTGCAAGTGATTGCCTTCCTCCTCGAGGAACATGTGGCAGTGGGGCTAGTGCTCAGTGCCTTTCGGGGGTCCCTGGTGAAAAGGCCCAATGGCAAAGGTGCAGCGGATGTCATCGTCAAAACAGCTCGCCCCTTTCCGGATGAGCTTCCAAGTGTGTCCACCAAGCTCGTGCATGTGGCCGAGTGCATCTACGATGAGAAGCACAGTGAGTACTGCACGAGCTGCGCATCGAGGTGCCTGCTTGTCGATCCGGTGAATTGCATCTATGGCCAGTTGACCCTTTCCGTTTCGAAGCCATCCCAAACCCGGATGCATTTTCGCTTGAGCCCGGCCTCTATGGAGAGCTTGCGCCTCTTGAAGCAGCGGGGCCGCCTGCCCGTTCAGCCGCTTCCAGAAGTGGCTGAGGGCGAGGATGATGCCGCTGATGAGCCACAGGAGCCCGATGCTGCCCCGTCCCAGGTCTATCACGACAGATCCTTCATGCGAGCGAGCATGCCTGGGCAGGCCAGAAAGTTCATGACGGATCTTGAAAGCTTGTACCGCCGGAAGGGCTGGCCGTTTGTGGAAAGCGGAATGGTCCAGTTGTCACATGACAAAAGCGAGTCTTGGTCAGTGCTGCTGGATCGCATCCCGGGCTTCTTCGAGCAAGAGTTCTCGAAGCATCAAGGCTATCGTTTCAGCAGGGCGGTCCATGGATACCTACAGACGCTCATCCCTGAAAGAGACTTGGCTCATTGGCAGACCATGTCCCCTTGTGCCCATCAACCCAGAACCCTAAATGCTCCAAGGCGCCGCCAGCGTCAGCAAGGTGAAGAAGTTTCTTGGGCTGGTCTCCCGTGTCGCACCGGGTGTGATCGACCTCCGGGCGTGATCCACTGCAATACTACACATGGGCCTAGGTACCTAAGAAGTTTTGGCACGAAGGCACACGAGGGGTCGATCCTGCCGTCTCACTCCGTCTCACCGCGGGCACGTGCAAGGGGTGGACATTCACACTCATTCACTGACATTCCAGACTTCGGACCCTAACACTTCTTAAAACCCTAGGCCCCTAGCAAACCGTACACTTCTAAACACTTAGCTCTACAGAAAAATGCTCCACCGTGCCGAATTGCCCTAATCTCCACCAGAAGGGGGTGCGTGGACGCTGCACCTGGGGTTCGGATCGTGGCGCCACACCGAGAAAAAAAAAGCGAGGCTGTGCTGTTCTGTCGCAGAGCTACTCAGAGCTGTCAGGGAGCATACAACATGAATGATGTTA